ATGACATCATGTTATTTAAAAAAAAACTATTTTCAATAAATTTGAAACAATTTAAAGGAAACCTTTTCCATCCTACCATCAACAGCTATTTTGTTTGAAATATTTTCGAGGTGAAAAGACAACAAATGAATCAATTTTGAATGAGGCTGTAACATGTGTTGTGGAAAATGTAACAATTTAAATTGTTAAATTAAACAATTTAAAATTTAACAAAAACCTGCAACACACCCAGCGAGCTTGATTTGATTTGAAGTGGGTTTAATAAACACATTACAATGTGGAGAAAGCCCTTACATCTTATATACAGAGACACCTCCCAGCAATTTCCTAATGTTGTAAACCTGCTCAACATTTGGCAATAAACGCCTTTCTGATTCTGACAGACAAAGAACATTCCACAAACTCACATGTTGGCCCCTCTCACGGGGGGTGGGGGTGGGGGGCTATACCTCCTCCCTCACAGAGAGAACTATGACCTTGTTTTCTGCTTGGCCGTCACCTAAGGATTTACATCCCTGATAAGCAGGAGTCCCACTATCTGTTTAACGTCTCCCATTACAATGGCCTCACTGTGTTTACACTCCACATGCGTGCAAACTGGTGACAGGAGTGCTCTTACTATAGTAAAGTGAGAAAGTGATATTACTATAACTAATGTGATATGATTAAATATGTGATTAATACATGAGAAAAGAAATCTGCCTCCACACATGACAAAACGTGAACCACTCCGAACACTCTCTGGATGCGCCGGGAGAACTGAACCTCTCTCCTCCATGCGTGGCTTAGTTTTTAACCTTTCATCTTTCCACCTCTCGCTAACATGCAGCGTAAACAATCACACATTTATATCTCAGTTAATATCTTTCATTTGTTTTTCCAAAACTTAGTCAAAATTGATAAATGATCACCTTGTTGTTCTTTACTGTTTGTATGAGAGTAAAATGAGCGTTGTTCTTTGTGACCTGGATTATGTCGTTAATCTGTGTCACAGAGACTGACTTTAACTCTGTGGTCATAGCGTCCTGTTTCTGACGCGACTACAGGTTCTCAAGTTTTACTGC